AACGAGAAAGAATAAACTAGTTTTAATTAATAAAGGACTTGTATCGCTGAAGTTTCTCGAAATTAATTTCTATGGGAAATTAACAAACAAGTAGATACGTAACAAATTGGTGTCAGAGAGTGGGAAGAGAGAGTGTCGCCTGTCTATCCATCGATGTGTTGCGTCATCTGTTGGGTTGAATTGGGTTTAAAAGATATTTAAGTACGTGCATGATATGCTTTACCATTTATAAAAATCTGTATATATTCATCGGAATATCAAAATCTTAAACCTAAAGACCAGTCAAGTAAGCTAGAGAAATCTTGTAGCGATAGTACGAGCCGTCTATGGGATAGCCCCGCTGACGTGATCAGGTAGGTAAGTAGTAGACGAAGAAGTTGCTGTTTTTGTTCTTAAGTACGGTAGTACTTAATAGTAGGGATCGAAAATGTTTCCAAATAATTCACGTGTCGGAAAACCACCCTATTGAATTCCTAAGCGAAAAACCGACCATTCAAAGTATTGGTTACGATATATTATGCGCATATATACTAATAATATGCAGAAAAGGTCGCTAACATTTTCGGTATGACAGTTATTCATTAACAATTCAAATATTTTTATTTTTATTTGGCGAGCTTCTCACCATTATATTTACTAATTTCATTGCCCACGCTATTTTTTATTATTAAAAATTGACCTGTTTAGTGGCAATATTTTGGTTTTGGAGGTACAGTCTATGTATGTTATAAGTTGTAACTAAACATCTTCAGTGTTATTCGCTATTGATAAATTATTTACGTTAAATTAACTTAGGGTAATGTTACTTTACATTTGTAGTGTTATACGTTTATTTTCCTTGCAATGCTATATAATGTACCTTTAGTAGTAAATCCTAAGTGATACATTAATTTATGTTTAAATTAATGGTGTAATAAGATGCTTATTGTGACTTAGTTTGAGTTATAATTCAATTTTAAATTCGAATCTTAATAACGACAGGTTACTATCACTATTAATGTATCAATATCATCATCACTGGTAATGTGGTATCAGACTGCTGTTTCTGGCCCTACGTTTCTTTTTAACCTATTAGTTTAAGTTTTGGACTTAAGTTAGAATTTGTATTTCGTTTGATCGTCTGAAATGTAATTAATCTAATTTATTATTATTCATGTAATATAAAGACTATTAGGTTTAGGGAACTGTTAAAAACATGTCGAGTAATGAAACATTACGTTACCGTTAGACCTTGCTTCTAGGTACACCACGATATTAGGCCTAAGTGGTTGCAACTTAAACTATACTCTAGGGTGGTTTTAAAGAAAAATTAATGATTATTGTTATTCGTCATAAGTTTGCATTATTAGTATCTTAATGATGGTTGGATAAGATCCATCATAATTTGACTAGCTACTAATGTTTAAAGTTATACATTATACTTTTATAGGAAGGTTTGAAAGAAAAATTTATGGTTGATATAAAATGTATTATAACCCAACCTGTGGACAGTAGAGGGACCATTTGTTCCTTCAACTGTCATTGTACACCCACCCTTTACTTTTCAGGAAATCATAGATTCCCCTTTTAATCCTATAAAGTGCTGGCCTTTGCTACTGCTGTTGGCAACTCATTCCACAAGTCAATCACTGTGTTATAAAAATAAACTGTCTGTTCCATATCTTACATTTGAGTCCCCTTCTCCAGTTATCCTCATAGGTCTTTATCCTATCAAACCTCTGGATAATGTTGTGAATTTCATTAAGATTAATTCTTACTTTTCTTACCTATCTCACAAAAATATCCTTTCCATCCTTGGGCCCTTACCATTAAGATAATATTTTTTCTTGCATGAGGAAACTAAAATGGTACACATTATTCCAAGTAAGGACTAATTATTGATATAGGTAGAGAAACATTTTACTTTTTTTTTTTACTTGTAATCAATATAACTATAAAAACAGCTGAGAAATCTATTAATCTTACTGTTAGTGACTAGTATTTTCTCAATCCCTTCCAATGTCATTTCCTTAACTAATCTTTTGCATGGCATCTCATAAAAACTTGGAAATCTAAGTACACAAAGTCCATCCACTTTGTCCAGATAACAAGTAATACCTTCAAAAAATAGGTTTGTAAGGCAAAATTTCCCTTTGTTGAATTAAAGTTGACATTCAAATATATCATATTTTACAAAATGGTTTTGTAAAGCTTATTTTATCAAGCTCAACAAGATTTTTCCCACTACATAAATAAGACTAACTGACCTATAACTTCTAACTTTAAAAATATAATTAACATAAGCAACTCCAATTCTCAAGCCTGCCCACTTTCTATTGATGTACCAAAAGTGAGAGAGATGGGTGTGTTGTATATGTGAATTTCAACCTCCTTTAAGACCATGGAAATACCATGTTTGGTCTTAGTGCTTTATGTATTTTTAAATTTTTAATCTTTTTCCTTACCACCAAGGTACTAATATCTATATGATATTTCCCAGAGAATTATCGGGACCAGGGATATTTTCTTTCAATAAAAAAAAAAATTTAAAAAGAGAGAGAAGAAAATGCATTCAAAAGCCAGCCATCTTCTTAGTCTTAAACAGTAATCTTGCCATCAGCATAATTTAAAAGCCTAATCTCCTTTCTAACATTTTGATTACCTTTAATATACATAGAAAATTCCATGTTATTTGTTTCAACATCTTCAGCTACTTGTTTTTAATAAGCCCTCTTGAATGTCTTAGCTTCATTTTCAACCAAAACCCTAAACTTTCTGTGAATCGTCCAACCTATTTAAACATTTGTCATTGATCTTTTCCTTCATGTCTTTATTAGGTTTGGTCTTGTCTGTTATCCTTTTCTTCTTTTTAGTAACATGCCTGTCTTGTATTAAAAGCAATTTATTTTTTTAAATTCCAACTCTGACTCATGCCACCTTTTAACTCATTGTTTCATTTCACTAATGATGAATCTTATATTATGACCACAAAGTTAGATTTCTTAAAATTAAGAACTGTAACTTCATTTCTTTTTTCTCAGCATGTAGCAGAAAAACATCAAACCTAATTGCACAATGATGACTCTTCCTCACATCTTCCTTCACTTCATCCCTTGCACTCATGTCCTTATTAGTGGTTAACAATAAATCCAAAGTAGCATCCCTTCCTGGTTGAATATCTGACCATTTAGTGTAGAAAACCATTCTTAATCACTTCAAGAGATTTCTCTCCCTAACTATTTGACTCTGTACAATCCCAAGCAATATGGTTAACAATCTTCCATAATTATTGCATCACTTTTCTTATTAGTAGCAACTGTGAACTCAATATACAATTTCTTATTGAATCTTTCTGTCTCATCTGGTGACCTATAACAATTTCCAGTAAAAAGCTTGATAACCTCTGAATAGTAATCCATTTAGATCCAAACACTTGACTACCATTTTTTTTTATGTCTTTGGTCCTAACAAGATGCAGTTTGTCTCTTGTATAAGAAGCCCCCCACCCCATATTTTAAGTAGTCTGTCAGTTTTAGATAACTTTTAACCTCAAACTCAAATGTTTGTATAAAATAGTCTTAATATGGTGGGATAAGATCCACAATAATTTAACTGCTTTTAATGTATTTTCATGGTATAACATTTATACCTACATATTATTTACTTTGATATATTGCAATTCTGTAATCATTTGATATTGGAACCACCAATAACTTTATTATTATTATTTTCAGAATTTCCATTTAAGTGAAACCTTGTGGGACAACAAATGAAAATATGGGCCATAGGAATAAAAACCATCACATTAGATTTCAAGAGAATGATCTAATTAGTGAAAACCAGAACAATGTAATAAATAAGGAGCACCCTGGTCAACATAGAAGTATTAATTATCAATACAATAATAACAATAATTATAATTTGTTACACTCAGCAGAAGTAGACTTGATTTCTCCATTTAGGAAGAAGCATAAAAAACACAAAAATAAACAGATGGATAAAGATAAGGAGGATAAACAGCTTAGAAGAGAAACAACTGAAAGAAATTCAGATATTGGTAATTTATTTGTGGCAGAATCATTTCTTGAAAGCGGACATAACATTAACTCAGAATACACCAACACAGAATTTGTTGCAAGTAAAAAGAAACACAGAAAAAAACATAAAAGAAGCAAGAAAAGTAAACCAGCTGAAATCTCACAGAAGAGTACTCAGTCAGCTTTTTTTACAGACAACCTGAGAACTGTTAGCATTAATGATACATGTGAACAAAACTTATCGCAGTGTAATAAACAAACAGCTAGGCATGAGGATATTAATGTTATGGAGGGAAAATGTGAATTTAATGAGGAATTACCATGGAAGAAACATAAAAGAAAACATTTGAGCGATGGATATGAAATTCCCAAAGAGGCTAGGTCTCCCAATTCTACTACAGACAATGCAAGAATTGTATCAAAGAAATTGGTCACCATAGATTGTGAACATAACCTGCCTGTTTACAATGAATTAGAGTCTTTTTTACCATCCACTAATAATTATGAGGATTATTTGGACCTGGGCTGTGATTCAATTGGTCATAATAGTTCAGGATTGAAATTTATTGAGAAACCAGGAAAACAGTCTTTGGGAGGTAAACAAAATATTAACAGTTTATCTGCAAAAGAGAAAAAAAGCTTAGCTTTTGATGAAGAGTCTCAAAATAATAGAAAACCTAGCGTAAAGGGTGCAATTACAAGAGCCACATTTTCATCAGATTCTAATGTGTTAGAAGTATCAAATGAAATTGAAATCCATAGCATTAATGACCAGAATGGGAAAAAAAAGTTTTCAGAAGATAAAGATTACCAAAACTGTAAGGTGAATGGAAATAAACACTTTACTTTAGATCAATCAGATGATGATGATGACCAGGAATTTTCAGAAGAGGTAATTGATGAATTTGTCACTGAAGAACAACTTTTCAGTTTGCACACACACTTAACAACTATGCAACTTTTTATTTAAAAAAAGGTTAATATTATACATAATTTGTAAAGTTTATGTTAAAAATATCATAGATGTTTTATATAAAAATGTCTTTCTTAAGACTAAGTTGACCAATTTACTTCTCTTCAATTTCTTTTTTTTTTGTAACATATTTCAAGGATTATTAGTTGTTTGTATTTCTTTGTGTGACAACTTTGCTGAACAAAAAGAATAAATATAATTCAAAATTCAAAAAATTATTGGTGCTTTGGCAAAATTAAGTAAAAATAGCACTACATAACATTATTGCCAAGAATAAAAAAGAATTATTATTGGAGACTTTGTAAATTACTTGACCTTAATGATTCTTCCCCACCCTCACTTATTTTTTTTTTCTATATCTCAAGAAAATATTTTTGGGGGCTAGGGGCATAACTGGTTCTCTTTATATGCTCCTCATCCCACCCACTGATTAACCTAGTTTCTGAACTACATTTAAGTTGAGGGAGGGATTGTAATATCTTTATTAATTATTGATGGCAGCAGGCTAGGAAACATGTAGAAATTCCGTTACTGTCATAACATTTTCCATTAAGTAATAAATAGTTGAATGGCTACAATGGTAACATTATTATTTTCTTCAGGAACTTAATTTAGACACTACAGAAGATCCACTGGACTTCATACCACCAGCTCTTCACAAAGCTGGAACTGTGTGTAACTTAACATCAAGTGGAAAAGAGCAGCTAATTTTTGAAGGTTAGTATGAATTAAGTTTTGTTTAATCATTTGGTTGAAAAAGTGTTTGATGTTATTGACCATAAAAAAAAATCAATGTTGTGGATGTTTCTCTGTTTGTTATCATGTTAAAATGCAAACATTTAGTTAAAATATATTCCCAGGTTCTTAAAATTTGAGGAAACAAAATGTTATATTTATTTTGTTTTTGGAACTATATCATTTATTATATAAGAAATCTCAAATAAATAAATATAAATACTCATTACATAAGTAGGTCTATATTACTTGTTTATAGTATGTTGATATGTGTGTTTTGCATTTATAAGAGCATCTACAGGATTTTCTTATTGTTTATACCAAGGGGTGAAAATTCGTACAGGGAAGTGGACAAAAAGAGAAGATAATATTATGAAACAAAATTGGCAAGATCTCTGTAAGGTATGAAGTAGGTGGTTGGTATTGTTAGTGTTATTGTAGTAAATGTATTTGAACAGGATATTTAGGTTTTTAGCTGGAAAGAAGCAGAAAAAATGAGTTCTAAGTGAAATCGTTAGTTTTAATTTGACATTACATTTTTTTGGTTCTTAATTTTATGATGTTATTTATTAAGCCCAGAGGATGTTGACTGTGTAATTACTGATATACTATTAATTGTTATAAATTTGATGATAACATGTTATACTTGATTAAGGGCACAAGAAGCATGCAAAAGTTACATGATCAACATGTCATATGTTTACATTTTGTATTATTAGTCCATTATGAAGGTGATAGGTATACAGATTAAAAATATGTAAAATCCATGAAATTCACAAAACAACTTATTGCTAGTATGAATATAATTGAAAGGGCTTTCTTCACAACATATCACAAGGTTGTAACCATGAACTGGTCCAACTTATAATGAAACTTTAATTTCATGTTAAAAATGAATAGATATCTTGTTGACTTGAATCATTAATAATTTAGTTTTATGTGTTAATTTCTAAGAAATCATTTCAGCAAGTAATTTTGTTTTAGTTTATTTTTTATCATTGACATTAATGACCAGTTAGGACTTAATGTGAAAATATCTTGTTCTTTTTAAATTAAGATAAAATGTTTAAGGACAGCAAGGGACTTATTAGTTGGTTTTCCCATTCATTAAACTATTAAAAAACAAAAACATTCAAAGCCAGCCCTTATCATTCAAATACCTATCAAATCTTCCCTTATACTACCTTAAATTTAATGCATCCACCACACCTGAGAGCAAACTTTTCCAAAAGCTAACCACCCTGTTAGAAAAATAAGTCATAGCTGAGGATGACTCCTGCCCTGCCAAATTGATATTTGTGTATGAATAAAGATGATACATCAACACTATCAATTTTAAACACTTCAGTCATATCCCCCCTAACTTATTTTTTCAACAGAAAAATCTTTCAATCTTTCTATCCCACATATCATCCTATTAGCTCTACTTTAAACCCTTTCCAACAATACAATGTCCTTCTAAGGTAAGGGGCCAAAGACTGAATACACAATACTCCAAGTATAATCTAACAAAAGACCTGTACAATGAAATTATAATCTCTTTAGATTTGTATTCAGTATTTCTGTAGATACAACCTAAAATCCTATTTGACATACCACCCTCAACAAAACACTGCTTGGTTGACTTAAGAAACTGATTGACTAGAACACCAAGATCTTTTTCTTCCATAACACTGTTAATGTTATTCCCATTAGAATTGTACTTATAATTCAAATTATGATAACCCACATGCAATCAAGAGGAAAGGAAGTAATTTTAGTACAACAATAAAACTAATAAATACAATTAGGGATAAAAATCCTCTAAGCTAAATTGGTTTACTTGTTTCTTACTTCTAAAAAATTGTAATTTGTTTATTACAGTCTAATATTGTAAAAAAAAAAGAAAAACAAAGGTTTTTAATTTCTCAGAATTCAGTTAGTACCAGTATTTATTTAATGGTAGGTCTAAACTGTAACACTAGGTATACTGGAAACATATGAATTATGCAGTAATATGTGTTTCCTCATCATTTATCAAATCTGTTTTTATTTTTTATGGTCGTTAATCATTTTTACAGACCTAAATGTAAATTTTGGTTTCTTCCTAGCATATTATTATTTATTTTATTTTTTTGGTAAAATGAATTTTGGTCATAACAAACATGAAGGAAAATTTAAGTAATTCACAGAACTTCCATGGTATTCGAAACCTAACAGAAAAATTATCCATTTCTATACACCACAATAATGGATAATAGTAATTTGGCTTGGTAGCCTAAATTGTTTTACTCTAAGAAGAAAACTTAGGGTAAAAATTAGAAACCCACAATACTACCTATCAAAATCCTGAATGTACATTCCTTAGACTTCTGAAAGCTTACTGTGCTCTATATGTCTTTCTTTTCTTTTTTTTTCATCTGTGAATTACAGATCAAAATCTATATAGTTCAGTAATTATCATTTTGTTGTTATGTGACTACATGTAATGACAAAAAATTTAATTATGACTGAAAAAATATTTATGAAATAATACAGCTCTCAAGATATATCAGATTAACATAACACTTAATATAGCCTATGGAAAACAAGAAACCATGTGGCCCTTCAAGGCTGTTCTTGCACAACCATTCTTTAGAAAAGTAAAAATTAAACCCACCTTTTACTTTTCAGGAAAACATCATTCCCCCCCCCCCCCTTTAAACTCCTTAAAGTTCTGGCCTTCAATACTGCTGATGGCAGCCTGTCAATCACCTTGTTATAGAATAAAACTTAACTAGTATAGCCTCTGGTTAGCAAATCTTAAACTTGTGCTTTCTCATACTATTATCTTCAGACAATACACATGATGTAGCACAAAAAAATGAGAGGCCTTTATCCTATACATCTCCTGAATTATCTTGAAAACTTTTACTCTTCTTTTCTCAAGAAAAAATATGTTAAGAAATTATAAACTATCCCTATAAGATAACTTTCATCACTGGAATCATCCTAATAGCCTCTTCGGAACCTTTTCCAAAAATTCAATATGCTTTCTTAATTATAATCAGGAGACCAAACTGTACACACAGTATTCCAAGTGAGGCCTAACTAGTGATTTATATAGAGATAATTGCCTCACTTGCTATGAAATCAATATGTCTATAAATACTCTAAAATTCTATTAGCTTTACTGCTTGCAACAGAGCATTGCATTGATGAGTTGAGTGTCTTTTCTTCAATAATTCTCTTGAATGGGTTCCTGTCTATGTTAAATGTGTGCTCAAAATTATAATAGCCCAAATGCATTACTGTACACCTAATACAATTAAAGGTCATTTGCCAACTATTTGTCCAACTTAACAATTTATCTATATCATTCTTTTGTAATTCAACATGCTCAATACAATTAAAAATACTCATGGCTTTAATAAAATCCATAAACAATACTAATTTATTAATTGTGCCCTATCAGTATCATTAAAATAAACAAGAAACAGTAAAGGCCATTTTGGATTTCCTAATTTCTTCTTAAAGGGGAACTGTGATATTTCTGTACTGTATGGGAAAGTATTATGTCTGGTTATTTATATGGTGTTGATCAAGGAGCATAATTATGTAATAATGATAGCCATGAAATGAGATAATAAATGTGGGAATACTTTCTGTCATGCATTCAATGGGTAACACCACACAGGTTGCTCTCTGGTTTTTGAAGTACAAACGTTGAAAGCCTAGCCACTCATTCATCCTTATGAGTTTAGAAGCAAGAAGAAGCATTGTTGTTTGAAAAATATCAAAGAAGAAAAATTTAGGTTGTTGCTTAATTATCATGAAGCAGCATAACATTGCAATAGTATTTTCTGAAATTACAAAAACATGTATCTTGCATATTTTTTTATTTTCACCATTGGAATAAATCTAAATTATGGTCATATGTAGGCGTATGGAATAGAGCAGTTATATACACCTATTGGAAAAGATTTTGTAATAATAATAGTCTAAAATACCTTTTTTCTTTCTCCTGGTCTGCAGTTGTCATCCTCTCTCTTGGCTTGGTGTAGATCTTGAAAAGCATTTGGCACTGCCCCTTTTGCAAGGTATTGTCAAAGTTTTTTACCAAACACTTTAGCTTGTAAATCCACCTTGAAATAATCAGGAGTGAAATGTTCCTCATACACAACACTGGTTTTACCAAAAGGAAATGTCTCTATGGTATGTCCCATTTCTTTGTAATTTCAGTTTTTTCTGGATTATACTTGGAGTTTTGGAACTGTGGTAAAAATTTAATCCCTTGTTGTCGCACTTGTACAACCATATTCCTTACACTTGGCCATGTTTCATTTAGCAAATGTTTGTCTATAAACTTATTGGGTCTGTACAAGGGTAAAGCTGTAGATAGGAGAAGTCCAAATCCATGGACAATGGAATTACTCAGAAGTCACAGAAGCTACAAGCTCCCTAAAAATTGTTAATGAGGGTGCATTGCATCCTTGAAAGTCCTAGAAATTGAGAATGGAATTTCAGGGGCTTCAAAAGGGGCTTTCTTTTGCAAAAGTACTTGAAAATATTATAATAGTAGAATATATATCGATATATCTAACTTTAATGCATGTTGTGGAGTTGAGCGCAATAAATAAAGCTTTTGTTTTCCTTTTAGTCTACATTCATATGTTGAACAAATAAATAGGAATTTTTTGAAATTATCAGTGGAATCCTATTGATTTGATGTAGCCTTTAGCTTCCAAAATTGCTTGAAAAACATCCTGAGAGTGCTTAGAAAGTGCTTGAAATTGATCTGAGGAATTCAGTATGAACCGTAGTTAATAATGTTAATAGCTTTCTTTTAAGCTTAATTAAGAAAGTGAATCTGCTCAAAATCTGTTAAAAGGTGGGTTGATCAACAAAAATAATGAATCCTTTGCTACTTTACATGTACTTGCATTCATATTCACGTTGACTATATATTAATAACAATTTATAAACAATAAGTCCATTGTTATAGATATTCCTATTTTTCTTTGAGGTTTGATCCATGTGTATGTGCCAAAAGACAGAGAGCAAACTAAAAAAGCTGGGGCAGATATAAAGTATGAACTAAATAGTTCAGTAATAAGCTGCAGAAAATAAACACAGAAGATGCTCTACAGAACTGCATAGAGTTTTTAAATTACTCTACATATATCTGTTTATAATTTCCATGATCTATGTATATGTTTTTGTGGATTTAGTCTGCTTCTAGTCATAGGATTCTGTAATATATAGCAAAGCACATCCACACAAAGGTGTGTCCTGTTAAGCCAGTCACATGCTTCTTTTGTTCTGGATGCTTGTATGTCACAGAAGAGAGGAAGAAGGTGAAGGAAGAAATGCAGCCTCCAGAAGCTGCTGTTATATATATAAAAGAAAATAATAAGTAATTGTGGAATTTTCTTAAACTATTATAGATACCCTGTATCAGTATTTTCACATCCATTTAATGTTTTCAGTTTCCGTTATATGAACCTCGGTGTTTACCTTTAACCACTTCCTTAGTTTTCTTATAGTTTTATAAATCTTCAAACCTATCTATTAATTTTATCTTCTTAAGGCATTTTCTCCTTTATAGCTTTAGTTAACCTGTTAGGTTTGATCTTCCCTTTTCCTTTTGAATTAAAAGCAATTTATATTTTAATATATCCCAAATCTGCTCCACATCACATTTTTAACTTATTGTTCCAATAAATCTTATGTCATGGCCTCAAAACTGGCTTTCTAAAACTAAGGAACAAAAATTGCATTTATTTTTTATCTTGGCATTTAGCAAAACATCAAAACTAATTATGCAATGATTTCTTTTCCCTAAATGTTCCCTTACTTCATCTCTGGCAATCATACCTTCATTAGTGGTTTACAATAAATCTAAAATAGTATACCTGCATGGTTGGTTCTCTGACCATTTGGTATATAAAAACCAACCTGATCACTTCAAGAAATTTCTCACCCTAACCATTTGACTTCATACAATCCTAATCAATGTGCTAAAAGTCTCCCATTATTATTCTTATACAAGTTCCCATTGGCCCCTTCTGTCTGATCAGATAGCCTGTAACAATTTCTAATAAAAAAAACTTGAAGTCCCTGATAGTAACCCATATAGATTCTATCTTCTGACTACCATTTTTTATGTCTTCAGTCCTATCAGACAGAAGTTTATTCCTTATATATAAAGAGCCACTCTACCCGTTCATAAAGTAGAATTGAATCTCTCTGACATTAATCAGCTATAGGTTTGAACTCTGTAGTTTTTTTTTTTTTCTTTTCACAAATTTTGCCCAAAGTAAAACTATGATCTGGTAACTCATTGCTCAAAGCTAATTGTTTGGATTCCAGATTCTATTTGTTTCAAATTTTAACAAAAAAATGGTTTTACAATTAGGCAACCACATAATCCCAGTATAAGCTTAAATTGGGCCTTGTGATGCTTCTTAGGAATTAGGATTTATTTTTCTTACATTTTAAAACTATTTCCTATGTCTTTCCTTTGTTGAAACAATTCACTTATATTGAAAGTAACTTATCTACTTGTTTTAATAATGTATGAAGTATTTCAATACTGGTAAGAAGATTAATTTATCTTTTACTGTTATAAACATTTACAGTTTTCAACTTTGTAGTTATGAAGTTCATGTATATCAAGTGAAATTAATTTTCTAGTTTCTCACTTTTTCAGACTTTTCTGTTATAGATGTACCTAACTGGATATCCAGATGTTCTGCTTCAAATATAAAAAAAAAAAACAAAATGTGTGAAATTCCTTTTTTTAATTGCAGAGATATCAACTTGATCATCCAACTATTCTGCTTGGAATAGCTCAGAAAAGAAGCAAATATATGAACTTCCTTCGAGCAAAACACTTTTATGTTCGTTTAGGTAAAGAAATACCTTTTCTAACATGATTTATGCAAAGTATAAATTTGATAAATTTAAAAGTATTTGATATGTATATGTTTTAAATATTACTTTTATATGTTGCTCTTTTTTTGCATATGCTTGACTCTGTGACAGCTCATAAGTTACAGATGGAAAAAATATTTATTATTGTTTCTTTCAATTTTGATAGTCTTACATTCTCTTGCACAAAGCGTTCTCGATCTTCTTGCTGCCCCCTAAGCACTGCTAAAAAAATTTAATGCTCAGTGCACTTGTCTATATATCCCACAAATTTCATGCCACTTTTGAACATGTATATAGCATGTTACCACCCTCAACCAATAGTACTGTGCCACTTATATTGGCACAGGTAGCTTTGATGTTTCCACTCTGTCTTCAGTTTTTCAACTGGCATAGCATTGTTTAGACATGTGTGTGTTTTTGCATGTGACTACCATTTATGATTGTTCGCTGTTGACATTAAAATTTTTTCAGTTTTCTTTTACTGTGTTTGCATTCAATTATCTCAATTTTTTGGCATTTATTTATTGTTACTGAATTACAAGGCAACTGAGAATAAATTTGCGATTTAATGTATTGACTACGAAAGTTCCCGTTACAGTCAACAACATTTGACTACCCAGGCATCGGGTGTGACTTTATCTGCAGAAGAGGTACAGGGAGCTAGATTCATATCTTTTGCCATCAATTTCTTCTCCTTTTCAACCTGACAATGTTTCTGATGATGAATACAATCAAGGAGAAGAAACTTAGGAGTCACTTTTTTCGGCATCTTATTATTTTGGTCTGTCACACTCCACGCCTCATCAGGAGGTCTCACCTTCCACCCCCTTTTTGTACTGCTGGTTAATCAGGTATGTGGTAATTACATGTTTTCCCCATCTCCTATGATGCCTCCCCATCCTTATTGGGTGAAATTCCATCTTCTAAGTTTTTGTTTTCTTCCCTTCACTTGACATAAGAGTTCATGCACCTAACTACAGTCAGGTGTTGGCATGCTCTGTTTCCCTCACCTGTCGGACCACCATGCTTTGGCATACCATCTTCAGATCCGTATTTATATTCTCAGCAACTGGATCCTCTCCTTCCTCTTTGAGGTACAAATCCTGAGGCTAATGTTGATTTTAATCAGGCATACTTTTCAAGGATTTGTCTTTCCCTCTCCTCTATTTAAGACACCTGTCTTCCCTCCATTTATTGTTAGAGGCTTTTCGTTGCTTCCCAGATCTTTTTCTGATAAACTCGGATCTCATCTTTCGCTCACCTCTTTTCATTTTTCGAAACACTCCCTTATATACACTTACTTCTATATATATAACATGAATAACCATTTGGAGCTCAGAATGTCCCCCTAGTGGTTTTCTCAGCCTTTCTAATGTACCTAACACCATTTCTTTCTTTTAAATGAAGATTTCAATGAGATAGATTGTGTCTTTAGTCTGCTCAAAATTTCATATATTTTTAGACCCAAATACAGCTTAGTTACAGAGCTTGATAAATTATAATGGAATTCTACGGTATTGATGTAGTAATTTATGATTTTTTAGTTAT